CAATTGTTCACGAATAATTTTAGCAAGTCCTTGCAATGTTTTGTCCTTTTTGGTTTCATCCTTTATTTCCTGTAATGTCATTGCTTTCGGGATGGCATAGGTTGTAAGGAAATTGACATAATTCTCAGCGGCATCCTCTTGTGTATGGTCTACATCTCTGCTAAACGGATGCCGAGACAGAAAATATGATGCATTGTTAGCACCACTTGTATAAACAACGTTAAAGTCAAAATCTTGAATTCTGAGATTCCATCTTTCAATTCGTGCTGGTGATTTTGACTTGGGGTTACTCAAAATCATCTCGATAGGCTTACAATCCGTATATAATGTAAATTTTGCTCCATGCAAGTAAAGATGTAATCGCTCCATTGCCCACACTATTGTCAATGCTTCACGTTCAGTTTGTGAGTATCGCCTTTCAACTTCCGCCAAAGATCTACTTATATAAGCAACAACTTTTTCATCATTTGTGCCTGGCATATGCTGTGATAATATCGCTGATAAACCCCAAGGTGATGCATCAGTCGTGAGTTTTTAGTGTGTTTATTCAAAATATGCCATAACTTTGTCACTGGTAAGAGCACGTTTTACGTTGTTAAATGCGCACTGTTCATCATTTGTCCACCGGAAATGAGCATTCTTAACTGTCAATTTCCGGAGTGGTTCAGTAAGGTCACTAAAATTCGGAATGAATTTGGCACAATATGTTGCCATGCCCAAAAAGCTACGTATATCTTTCACACAACGGGGTGCAGGAGCGTTCTTAATAGCTGAAACTTTTGCAGGATCTGCAGAAATGCCATCAGATGTGAAAACTAGACCAAAGGATGTAAGTTTGTTTTGATTAAACAGTCATTTCTCATCGTTTAAAGTTAAGCCAATTTCCATAAAACGTTGACAAACTGCATGTAAAGCAGCATCATGCTCGTTCTGGGATTTCCCATATATGATAACATCGTCGCTGATATTAAAGCCTGGTTCACATGATGAAATAAGCATAAGCATAAGCATAAGCAAGCGGAACCTTTGATGTGCATAAGCATAAACATAAGAAGAACAAATGTTGCGTTCTTCTTATGCTTACGTTTATGCACATCAAAGGTTCCACTGCTTGTGCTTATGCTTATTTCATGGTGTGAACCAGGCTTAAGGGCTCCAGGAATATGTTTAATTTGATCATATATAACCTTCTGAAATATTTCGCTCGCAGAATTTGTTCCAAAATTCAGGCGTGTGTAGCGATGCAACCCTTTGTGGGTTGCAAACGTAGTAATGTATCTACTGTCCTTAGATAAAGTCAGCTGGTGATATCCAGATCGTAAGTCAAGTTTTGAAAATACTTTTCCCCCATTCATCTTTGCATCATTCATCATCGTCCTTTTCAAGTTGTTTTAGCTGTCCTTCTTTTCAGTAATTCCGCGCCCTCAATGTTCTCCAGTCGTTGAGTTCGGGAATTCAAGATCCTCGATAAAAACATACTGATATCGAAGGAAGTAGAACTTTCCAAGCGTGCGTGCTCTTATAAACGAACCCTAAAATTCAAATCCGCACATCATAATGACTAATGTGCATGATCACAGAGATCTGTTTATTGTCGAAATAAAGTTAAAGGAGCAGTATGATCAAAATCTTTATTTTCTTAAACGAAAGTGCTCGTAAAACAGTTTATATAATAACTACAGTGAAACACGCAATTTGATTGGTCAACAGCCGTGCAGGATCAGACAATCCTGCAAGGGAAATTCTAAACAGAAATTCTTGCACATAATTTTACAAATATACTCGCATTGTACAGTTTCATTATTGTACAATACCTATCCACTTTGAAGTAAGTTTGCAATTATTGAGACGTTGGTTTAGTTGTATGAATAAATTTCTTATCGATACATTGCTGTTCAGCAAGTAGCAAGGCGTAGCGTTGAAATTCATCAGACCATGGCAAGTACAAGTGTTATTGAAGTGTACAACATCTCTCGCTTCAAAGTTCAAACGCTTTGCAATCTTCAAGTATTCAGGTGGAGAATCTTCATAACTACTTTGGTTTTCTGTTTAGCTGGCTTTCCATTTCAAATTTCGTATATTTTATAGAAAAAGACTCTGTATTTTCGCTGTATATTTTCGCGAATTTGCGATCAAATTCTGTTCATAATTGTTGTTGTTTTCAATAGCGTGGAGTAGCGATTCTCCGATTGGTTAATTCACGATTGTTGTGAGAACTGCACATTTCATCAGTAATTTTAATCAACTTAACCCTCGTTTCACTGTAGTAATTTTATAAAGCAATTACCAAATGGTTTTCCCGTGCAGGATAGCATGATCCATGCACTTGGGATGTTGTTCGACTTTCGGAAAGCGTAAAAATACACTCGCCTACGGCTCGTGTATTTTCACGTTTTCCGAAAGTCTCGCAACATCCCGCGTGCATGGATCACGCAATCCTGCACGGAAAACCATTCGGTATTCCTTTAATAATAACTTGTTTTGACGATTTTGGTTTCCATGCTTAGTTCTTGAGATATTTCATTTTGTTTGTAACCATGTGACGTCATCTACTCAATTACATATATAATGAGATATCAGTAATCGTTGTGTATCTTTGAACAACAACTACTGATATCTCATTATATATATATATATATATATATATATATATATATATATATATATATATATATATATATATATATATATATATATATATATATGTAGTTAGATATCGCTCTATCGGGCCTTTAATAGGTCATATTGAGCGCTCTACAGGATGAGCCATGCCGCTTACGCATTGCGCACGCTCACTGCTTGCAGTCGGAGCGCTCTGGCATGGTTTTGATGTCCCACATTCGTGAGGCATATATGTATGTAAAACTTTTTTCAATACGCTAACTTCGACAATTATTTACAACTGGTTTCCACGAAGGGCGTATACACACAAAGAGCTAAATGTTAATTATATATAGAACAAAATATGTAAGAATCCCACCCTAAAATTTTATCATCTTCCTCCCAAACCTCCACCCCCTAAACAAGTACCCACCCACCCTCACGCAAAACTAACCCCCTCCCGCCCACAATCTATATTGTCCTCCCATCATTTGGTCCTGGAGAAATTAGCTTATCATCTGCTTAAATGCAATTTCGCCATTGTTTTAAATGACGTAATTGACTCAGCCGCCTTGACATCTTCCGATCTCTATTCCATAGAATTGCTCCACTGTATCCAAATGTTTTCTTTAGAAATTCCGTTTTCGGTTTTTTTAACGAGAGATCAGTTTCGCTATTGCGTAAATCATAAATATTCTGCGATGCATTTCTCCGAGAAAAAAGATCTTTAAGGTTTGGA